GGCGGGGGTGAGCGGGGGGGGCGGAGACCGGGGGGGGGGGCGGCGGGCGGCCTCCCCGGGCTGCGGACTCGGCCCGGCTCCTCTGGCCGCTGCTCGGGCTCCCCCAGCCGAGAGCGGGTCGGGCCGCGCTGGAAGCGGCCGTTCTGCCTCGGGGCACGGCGAGAGGCTGCGAAATCGCTGTCGGGGGGGGGCTTTGCTCGGCCCCCCACCCTCGGTTCGCTTGTCGGCGTCCTCCTCCTCCTCTGAATCATTTCAGATTTTTTAATTATTTATAATTTATTTTATTTTTTCGGCCGAGTTCAGCAATCGGGAGTCTCAAAGACGCTTAAATTGCTGTTTTGCCGAAAAGGAGTGAAACAAGCACTCCGGTGGTGGTTGTTGTTGTTTGATTTTATTTACACTTTTAAACCTGCATAGACTGCCTGAGCTAAGAATGCACCCATGGCAAGGACTATCTGTGAATACAGTTTAAGTGGGGCTTTAAAATGGGCCTACTGGAATATTTCTTTCTAGGCTTTAAATTATTCATACCTACTGAATTGGCTTTAAAATGTCATTTAATCATGCTATAGTTCTATTTAACTTGCTTTCAGTATAATATCATTTTTTTTCAACTTTGTTACGTAACGTTCAAGGCTTAAATTTAAATTTATGGATGTGTTATCATTAATATTGAGCTGAATGTCGTGTGTAAGTTTCCCTCCTCTATTTTTTTCCTTCTAAACTGGATATAGTTAGCTTTCATAATATTCTTAACTATGTAGTCCATCCCACCAAGGTTAGTAATGCTGCTTAGATAGAGTTTCTCATTACTGAAAATTTGTACTTCCTACTAATTATATGAGTGCTATAAGGAGTCAAGAGCTTTTTTTTTCTATGTTTACACTCTGCCTTTAATGTTCCCTTAGTGTTTTCACAGAAGAGCTAGTTCAGACTTGTATCATATCTGCATCCTTTTTCCAGTGTTAAGTGTCTTGTGGTAACTGGCCTCTAGCTGAGAATCTGCCAATAATCCCCTTTCTTTCCTAATGAGAGATGGTCAAATGCTCCCTGTAATCAAACCCTTCATCATTATGTCAACTGTATCCCCAGCTGTGAGTCTTTAAAATTTGGTAGCTTCTGTTACTTGGACTATAGGACTATAAGATCTCAAAAGTACACTTTGATTTTCTTGAGTTCTCATTAAAAAAAAAGCCTCTGAAATTGAATGGAGTCCTGCCCAACCTTGCAGTTATGTGTCTTAATTAGGTCAAGGAAAGGTAGTGTAACATCCCATGGTGAGTTTTCTGCCTGTGCTTTTTGAAACTGTTATAAAGTGGTTCTGAACAGTTATGAAAACTGAAAAACTTTTCATCAAGTGAAAAGCCTTCAAATTGAGTAGCCCCATCTAAAACATCTGCAGTAGCTTTCCGTTTCTTCCAGAGACAGTTGATAGCACCTTCTCTGAGTATCTGATACCCTGATACTTCTAACAGTGTTAAATTCCCTTTTTCCCTTCCAGGCCCAAGTTTCCAGTCTGTTCCTTTGGTTTCCGCTTTCTGCAGTTTGTTAGTAAGAGATCCTCCTCCTTGTAGCATCTGTAGCATTAATTTCTAGAGCTGGCTTTCAAAAATGTTCTCATGAAAGGAATGTTGAAACTTCTTTTCAGATCACTACTCTCTTCACTTTAGCTGCAGCCTTGCACTTGAGAATATTGGGAATGTTTTCAAAATACTGGAAGTACTTCAGGCAGGTCACAGTCATTGCTCTGTGATCCTCAGCACCTGCCAGCTGGTTTAGGTACGTTTCTATAACAAGAAAGAGCAATGCTATCTAAACCTCCTCCATTGTTTTTTTCCTCTCCACTTAGCAATTAATTCTTGAGTGTCACTGCTAAGCTTCACCCCTTCCATAAGGAGGGGGTCTCAGGTCCACGCTGCTGGCAGCTGGTTCTCACCAGACTCTTCAGTGATCTGAGCAGAACTGAGACAGCAAAAAGCAAAGTGTAAAAATCCTATTTAAACTTTCTTTTTTTTTGCTAGTTCAGCTCAAGGAACTGGCCTGCTGTGGGTCACACAAGTGTCAGCCCTAACAGAAGGGAGGGGGTCCACTGACAATAACTCCAATTATTTTAGGCTAATCTAGGTCTTTCCCTGAAGAGAATTCCCACTACTGTCCACTAAATCAAGTCCATCGAAACTTCAGACCCAGACTGAACAATAAAGTAGGCATGTCAAATTCTTTATCACATGATACAGATCTAAATTGTAGGATAATTTTAGCAGTGTACAAGATTATCACCTAGCTCTCATGTAGCAGGTCATCTCCTAACTAGTTAAGCCAGCAGCTTTTACTCCCCTCCTCCTGGAAATAAAAGTTTCAGTGCTTATGTGAGCACAGAGTTGATTCAGCTTGCTAATGTGGCAAAAAAATCCTAAACCAGTTAAACAGAAAAAGGTGCTGATAGATTTCTGCTTGTTCAGTGAGTTTAATAGGCTGGATGGGGTGATCTTGTGAGCATCAGTGATAACACCAAGGAAGCAGCAGCTTGTGGGCAGGGTCACTGGGGAGGCAGGGGAAGCAGGTCTCGTCCTTCCCTCCCAGCATCTGCTGGCAAGGATTAGGTACTTCAGAACACATCGTCTCACTTTCAGCAATTCAAATGTTTTTGTAATCTGGAACAAATCAAAGCTCATCTTATTTCAAGTGAAAGAATATCAGGGAAGTACCAAATTTTTTGAAAAATCAAGAAAATTATTTCAGCGCTGTTTTCACTGGTATGTATTAACTATTGATCTTTGTGGCATGAAATCTTCAGGAAGGTTTCTGAAGGTAGTTCTTCTCACCCCTGCTTTTTGTACATGCAGTGAAAAGCTTCTGGCAGATGCAGTGGTAAAAGCCTTGCAGTTAGGGATATAAAACCTAACTTTTATGACTGTAGTGGCAGATGCACTTGTCCTTGTTTTTCTTCTGTCGTGACTACATAGACATTTGAATATACTATCAAGCCAATAAACCTGAACAGTGTTTCTGTCAGCCAGTGTCTGTGTACTTGAAACACCTGCCAGAAAGCAAACATTATTTCTAGTAGTTTTTTTAGTAGTTTTAAGATTGCTGCTTGGCAGAAAGTGCTCACTGGCTCAGGTTCAGCCTGGGTCATTTTGGCTGCAGCTCTGCAGACTACAGCATCTTTCAGATGATTTGTTATTTGTGCTTGTTAGTTGGTTTACATTTTACTATAATTATTTTGTTACAGAGAGAGAATTGTTAGGTTTATTTTTGAGTGTTAACTATGAGTGTCTCAGTACTGGAGGAAAATGGATCTAAACATGTTCTTAGCGTACAAAAATCCCTAAACGAGTTTGACAGCTAGTTTAGGATTGAAGTATAATTTGTTTCACAGAACAAATTTAAATGAAGACAGTTGCCACAGCAGACTTTAGGCACGTAAATGGAATAGCTGACCAAAATGGAGTGCTTTGCTGAGAATGGTAGTTATAAAAGAAACGCTAGGAAGCAGTATGTAGGTGGCAAAGCAAGAACAAGAAATGAAGTCACCTTTACAGAGTATGCTTAACGGTTGTGCAGAGACATCTTTTGATGCCTCCCCCTTTTTTGTTTTGTTAGGTTGTTGCTGGCAGTGAAAGACTTCCTCCCAAAGCTGTTTAAATGAGAATGTCCCTGGCGCAAAGAGTACTACTGACATGGCTTTTTACGTTACTCTTCCTGATCATGCTGGTGCTGAAGTTGGATGAGAAAGCACCATGGAACTGGTTCCTCATTTTCATTCCAGTCTGGATATTTGACACTATTCTTCTAGTTATGTTAATTGTAAAAATGGCTGGACGGTGCAAGTCTGGCTTCGACCCTCGCAACGGCTCCCAAAACATCAAGAAAAAGGCCTGGTATCTCATTGCAATGCTACTTAAATTAGCCTTCTGCCTTGCCCTCTGCGCCAAACTGCAGCAATTTACTACGATGAAACTAGCCTATGTATTTATCCCGTTGTGGGCCCTGCTGATCGGGGGTATGGTTGAACTTGGATACAACATCTTCTACGTACGAAGAGACTAAGCTATACTATGTGGGCTTCAACACCGAGATTTGTACCAAATTACTGGATTATTACCGCTTTGCCACAAACTTCATCTCAAAATTAGAACGCCAAATAAGAAACCAGTTGAGCTGGAGACTTTGTCTAAACCAGGCAGGAAGTAGACTTGTTCCATTTTTTTTTTTTAATTTTAAAACTTTCACATATGCTCTTGTAAATAAAAGTATTTGTTAAACATAAGGTGTTCTAATGTGATTATTATTGTTATTTGTTACATGGAGTAAGATACAGGCTCTTCGCATGCAGGTAGAAGATCTTCTCAAAGGAACAACAAATGTTCTACCCCAGAGTACTCAGTGGAGTAATAATCGTTGGAAAGAGTAGTACTACTTGTGTTGTCACTCAAGATTATAAGCAGTTAATAGTAACTTCTATACCATGCTAAATTTGCTTTAAGAATCAGTAATAATTGATAGCTGCCACATAAGAGCGAAAAAGGAATAAAGTGACTGAGCATTTTCTTTTTGACAGTGAGAAGCTACCTCCAGTCTGACAGACTAAAAATTAGCAATTTTTCTAAGCTGCTGAAAAAGACAGTGACTTGTTTGTAGCTGAACTGTGCCAGCAGTCCAAGATCCAAGAGAAGAGGGAGACAATGGCGATGACTTTCCAAGGGAGAAATCCTCAGTGCGGTAAAAGGGAGAGTTCTGTAATGCGTTTGTACCTGCAGGAAGTGATACTGTAAGGAGGAAGATGGTTTTTAAAACCCTAGTATATTAAATCTCTGGGGGTCAAGCCTTGGCTTCATGGACTAATGGCAAACTCAGATGTGAGTAAATGAACTTTTTTAAGTAACAAATGCAACGAATGGGACTTCTGGGAAGAGCTGGAACCATGACCGTATTCTGTGGACTGGAAGTGCTCTTCCAGGAGCTGCAGTAACACCAAATTCAAATGTAAGAGTTGCCTAACACATTATTGATGTGCACGCTGAAGAGCCTGATCCCTTTACAGTTCCTAGCTGCAAAAGAATGACTAGTGAATGAAAAGAGCCCAGGAAAAAACGTCTAAGGTAACAGGAGGTGACTAGGTCAAAGCATCTCACAAATTAAATTTTAATTATGTGCATTCAACTGTACTTGTCCATAAAAAAAACTTATCTTCCTGAAGTGTAGATACACGGGAACCACATTGTCAGAGGCTGCTGGAGGGGCTTTATCTAAGAAAACCTGTTCCAGTCTAAGGCAATTCAGAACATCAGGTAGCAAACGATCTTTAGAAAGACTTTAAGTCGTGTTTGCTTCAGAGTGTTGACTGTCCCACCTTGCTAAAGGAGAAACCAAGGACTAACAAGAAAAAAAAAAAAAGCTAATCATTAGCTACTGTTAAAAAAAATGCAAAGTATTCATAACCCCTTTATTATAATAAAAGTAACACATCAACTTTTACTAAGCTTCACATAATTTATGGGGAGCTGAAACTTCCATTTAGAAATCTTTTCCCTCAGTGCCTATCCAGAACAGTTCTTTTTGGGAGGTGCATCTGTGCCCTACATAGTTGTGAAAAATCCTTCATGGAAGTCTCTCAACCACAGAGCAGAGTTTTACCCACTTACACACGGTTCCTGTGCAGAACCGGCTGCTTTCCCTGTCTTTGTGATTTTTTCATATTAAAATGAATATTACCAATTAAGGTAAACTTTTATGAACCATTTAACAAACACTGATGCAAATACACAACAAGCATTTAAGCACTTTAGATAAGACAAATACATACAGACACACACACACACTCATGGCCGTTGGTGCGTGATGGCACCAAGCATAAAACCGAGTCCCTGGAGTTGTTCCCCACTCATGATTATCACAGAATTAAAAGCAAAAAAAGCCTTGTTCCCCTGATGCCAACCAACCCCCCAGAGCTCAGAAGAGCAGAGCAGCTTCCCTCAGTCAAGCCAAGGGTGTCAACAGATCATTATAACTCAACAAACGATGGGAGAACAAGAACTAGCCTCATTAGGACTTGGTATATTATTAGCAAGATGGGCCACAAACTGAGACTGCCCCCTTAATAAACCCCTTCTGTTCCACAGATGTAACAATTAGCTGAAAGTTTGGCATCTCTAATTAACTAGAATTGAACACAACTGTTCCAAATCTCCTTTTAATTGCTGCCTTTAATTAAATAGAAAAAGACCAACATTTCAGTGTTTTGGTTATGGGTTTGGCTTTTTTTTTTTTCTAAGGGTTTCTGTATCTTGAAATACGTGATGGTGACTTTGAAGCCAAAGCAGACCTTTCTCTCTGGTGTCCTAGAGCAGGCACACACAAATTGATTTCCTTCCTTTAGCAGATGATGTTTTTAGGACGCAGCCCCTTTGTTTGCAAGTTCTTTGTCCTTACAGAGACACTCTGGTAAGGGCAATGTCCCTTTTGACTTTGCATTTTGTATCGGATGTAACTGACCTGAATGCTGCTGAGGCCGCTGGACACACAGATGTGCTCTTTTGTTGTACCAGAACCTCATTCCAAACGCCTTGTGATACAGAGGACACTGCAGCCCACGGTGACATTTCTAGAAGCAGAAGTTAACGTTATTCAGAATTACCCTGTTCTCAGCCTGGAAAGGGAATGAGTTCTCCTCACACCTTCTCTCAAGTTTACAGGCTGACCTTCATCAAGTAGAAGTAGATGCTGAGACATCTCACACTGCTCTGCCCGAAGGGGGCTGGAGGGAATGACAGACAACCCATGGACCCAGGGCGCTGGGGAGTGTCTCCTCCCAGGTACCAGCGGCGGCGGATGCGCATCGCGGAGGGGAGAAATTAGGCTGCCTGGGTTTTAAAACACCATTCAAAAGCTCACTGTTCTGAAATGAAGCTGGGAGTATTATCTATACACGTGATAGACTGATGACACATTATTGCTCTTCAAATCATTTATACAAGCTTGAACGCTTCACTGGAGGTGAGTGTCTGCTTTCCTCTGATTAAGGAAAATGCACAAGTGTGAAAGGTCACAAAACTAAAATTTTCAGTTACCTATTCATAGTGCTTTTCTTGATTTGTCACCACTTGAGACCAGTATCCTTTTTCCTGTACTTTTTATATTTGAGAAATACGATTAGGACATACACATCCCCACCTTCAACAAACTTTAACCTGAATGTAATTTATGAGTCTGCCAGAAACTCAGAATTCTAACATTAACTATTGTAACACCACTATATTTTGGTGAACAAATAACATTGCTTTTCAGTAATAAAGCTCCTTAATTAATTGCATCCTCAGAAAGAACTTCTTTGAATTGATTGGCACAGAGAGCCTAGCACTATCATGTAACACACGTCAGGCTTTTCTGAATTAAGATTGAGGTAAAATTAAGTATGCTGAGTTGGGAAGAAAGTGTTTGCACTTTTTGGCTGTACCTTTGTTGTTTTAAGGTTGGGATGGGGATTGTTTCCCACAGGAGCCTTTTACCCCTGAACAGGCTGGGTCTCAGTCAGGGGACTAAAGCAAGGTGAGGAGTCGCAGCAGTTGGCCCATTAGAATACTATCCAATATTAATTCAACTTTTTCTCCTTGTACTTGGAAGTTGGATAAAGAGTAGAAAAACCTGCAACTCAGTAACGCTATTTCCTTCGGTCTGCCTTTTCTAACAAAACCAACCTCACAAGCAGGCAAAGGGAAGGGAAGTCTTCACAGAGCAGCACAAGAGTGAGAAGCGGGGAAGAAATGAGCAAGCTTAGTTTGTCTGTGTTAGTTTCTATCTCAGTGTTCCTTTTATAAAGAAATCACTGCTAAAAGATGTCTTTCAGCCTAAAAACTTCATTTCAGGGATTACCAAAAGCTCTCAGCTGCATCAGCTGGACCGCCAGGTACCCAAGTGTTGGCCAACGTGTAAGATACAGCTTGAGCAGTCTTGACTTGAGTCACATCAGACTGACACACACAGGTCTAATCAAAGAATCATAGTTCTCAAGGTTTTCTTCTTCTTCAGACACTTAGGGAATAGTTTTCTCAGGGAACTGCCCTATTTAATCTCAATACAACCAGATAAAAAAAAAAAAAAAAACTGCCATAAAAAGCATAACCCTTAAACCGCAGGCCTAAGCTCTGCCAAACAGTGCACTTCGGTTTAGTTGGACCAGAAATTCATTGGCAAATGAAAACATAGTATCAAAATAGTTAATGAAAAATCAAACTTGATAAAAATAGAAGTTTAAACTGCTGTTTTAATCAACGTTTGTATTAGATTACCATAACTGTACACCAAATATTAAAGGATTATTTTGGACTAATGCCCTTATCAGTAGGCTCATCTATCAGCATGACCAGAACACGAGAAGATCAATGTTTAGCTGGCACTCAAGTACAGCACGCTCCAAAGCAGAGGAAATATTAGCATTGTAGCACAGAGAAAAACAGTGGTTAGAATATCATACACTAAATTTGCAAAGTCAGTAGCATCCCTGATGATTCTAATAAAAATAGCAACCTAGATATTGTGGAGTCAATCACTGCTTCTGAACAGAACACAAAACAATTTGCATTTCTAAGAAAAATGAAAAAAGTGACTGTTGGGAATCAGTGTCCCAAATTTTCCCATGTACGCGGCAAATTGAGTGGGATCTGCACAAAATATCAGCGTGGCCTGTTATACAGTTCTTAAAGTGCATTTCAGCCGTTTGAGAAGGTGGGATAACACCAGTTGAACAGCGTGACTCACGATCAGAGAAAGCAAACAAACATTCTCCACAGTGTCATTCACAGCAAAGCAGAGACGCGTGAAACTCTGTCCCTCCCGAGCTGGACACCTTCACAGGCAGGTCACGGGCGCTGCCCTGCCTAAAGACAAGGTTCTCTACACATCTCATCACTAGAAGAAGTGAATAGAAATCACACTTGAGAAGCCTGCAAAGTTCTTGATGACAAATAGTACAGCTTTCGTCCCAGCAGGGTCAGGTGGCAGTCTGCTAGCTCACAACAGCTGATTTATGAGCACGGAGAACACACGGATTTATTTCAATCAATTCAGCATCCTCATTCACATGCGGATATTGGAAAAATAGTCATTTTGATCAATGAATCCCAGTCCTGTGTTTCTTGGAAGACTTAACTCAATTTTCCAAATCTGTAACGTTGGGACCTGTTTCACAGCATTCCACTATTTTATGTTTCCATTCCCTATGTCGTTTTCAATGCCAACTTATTTACCGTGCACATGTGTATCTGCTTCAAAATCAATTTTATTTATCACCAAGGAATTCTTTCACAGATGAATACTTAAATGATCACCCTCTGAAATAATACTTTATTTCTAATACTAGATAGAATTAATATTTCAGTTAAAGAAGTATTGAAATATTCACTCTAGTAACAAGGAAGGGAAAATCTGCATGCCAACAGTACCTGTAGTGAAAATGCTGTTTCAGAGTCAATTTGCAGGCATTTGGAGGGCTGGGGGATGACACAACACTGAGGAACACTTGTATGTAACACATGAAGTCAGTTGCCAGTGAAATGCAAAATATCCAGTAATTTTAAATAAAAATAATAATAAAAAAAATAAGTAGCTACCATCTTGAAAGCTATTGGTAGTGACAGTAACAATGTAATTCTTTGCTACCCACAAATATGGTACCAATATCTAGGCAAAACATGTCTAAAATTTCTGCACATCATGTCATCAACTGGAACACCACTGCAAACGCACAGATGGCAGCACCACTGCAGCACGGGCAGCAGTTCTCCGGTCTGCTCAACAACGAGGGCCAAGAGAGACAACTCAAACACTGGAGATTTCAGCCGAAATAACAGAAAGATTTATACATAAGTCAAGTCTAGAGAGGGGAAGGGGGAAAAAAGCAATAAGCAAAGACTAGTTTCAGTACATCGGAAGGCATGAGAGATTTATTGCTGAAGCAAAAGTCTGAATATGAAGTTGTACTTGGCAGGAATAAAGGTTATCGCACAGGACCACAGAAACCAAAGCAAGACCTTTGTCGGACTAATGAGCAAGTTGGGAGCTGAAAAAGCCCTCAGAAAAGGTGCTCCCCCTTAAAGAGCAACCACATCAAAATGAAAAAGGAGTATACCACAGACAGAGGACAAAAGTTTCTCTTTTTCTTTTAAAGCAAAGAAAGTAGTATATGCTACTACAGCCAGTCAACCCAGACTGCTCACACCTTTGAATAAAAAGGGAGTTCCGACAGCCATTGGTAACTCCAGTATCCTTCCCATTGGTAACCCCAGTATCCTTCACGTTCGTCTGCAAGGAACTCTCTAAAAATGAGTCTTCTCAAAAAATCAAAATTAGAAGGATGTGTCAAATTTGCAAAAACTGCTGCTTTTTCTTATCTCTTAACATTCTGAAAGTGATTTAAAACAAAAGAAAAAAATGGGTTGAAGATGTAGACAGTTTAGAGGCCAGATTCCAGAACCAGGACATACCTGAGCAGAAGCATGAGGCCACATCAGCCAAGACCACTGAGCAGCTCTTCAAAAGGAAACAAAGTTCTGCTCTGAAGTGTAAAGTCACATTTGCTCAACCATTTTCAAGGTGTATTTTTCAGACCAGACAAGGCCTATGATGCAGAAAGCTGTTTGCTGCCAAGAGGGATGTACACACTTTATTGAAGTCTGACAGATTTCAAAAAAAACCTGAACCAGAATGAATGATCGGCATAGAGATCATGAGCATACAAATAAGATTTTTAAAATTTTTTTAAAGTAAACTAAATAGTTGTGGTGTGGTTTTGTTGTTGGTATCTGGCAAGGTTGTTTTGATAGAACTGGAGCCTTCTGCTAACCCACTTGGAAAGCTGCATGTTTAGTACAAACTACAACCTGCAGCTCTTCTCTTCTGCTGTTCTCCAACAGCTGGCACAGAGAAGGGGGATGGAAGGCTCCGTAGTTGTGTATGGATGTTCATAAAGCCAAGGAGATTAGGGGTAGAAGTTTCCAGATAAGCCAGAAAACACAAAGGGAGCTGAGACCACATTGCTACTATCAGGAAGGCTCAAATTCTTACATGGACCAATTAATTTTTCAAATGAGAATCTGCCAGAGTAATAATAACTTACCATGTCACACATGAATCACTTGCTCATGGCGTGAGGGGAAAGCAAGATCCCTGAGGCTGCCAAACTGATAGTAATCTCTTAACCAGCATTAAAGAAAACAGCAGTAAGACTTAAGGACATATTAGCCACAAACAAGAGATTCATGTTTCTATTGCTTCTCTAATACGTTAATTATGGCTATATAGGAGTAACGTTTAGCAATTCAAATACTGATTTAATTAGTAATGCCTTGACAGACCTATTTTAGACTTAAATCACGGCACTCACCAGTTAAATGGCTGATTTTGGTGCCAGGCATAAGTACACAGGAACATTTTGAATTTTAACAACCTAAAAGCAAAAAACGTTTGCAACAAAAGGGCCTCAGGTAGTTGAATTAGACATCACCTGGAAATCACACTGTTCTGTTGCTACAAATGAAGCCAAAGTGATCACTAAGTGCACCAAGGGTTATGAACTGGGAGTACAACTTTCAGAAGTTACAGGGAAAAATACAAAAAAAAAAAAAAAAAAAAAGAGGTACAGGGGTTTTTGGAAATAACAGGCATTGGATCTTAAGTTTTAAATACTTATTTGAAGGACAGGCTGTAGGGCAGTTTACTGCTATTTGTAGCTACCTGAAAAAGAATCATTCAGATGTATTTGAACTATACAGTAATATGTTACACAGAATTAAATAAGTTAAATGACAGAGGTTTTGCCATTACCACATCAGATGCTAGCTAGCCTTGAAATCCTCCTCCCTCAGAACGCAGCTTAAGAGAACTGAAGCGTTCCAGAGGTGGGGAGAGGGGAGACCAGTTACCTTGAACACCACTGTCTTCTCTTAAGGAAACAATTCTTACTTCCAAACGGGGACTTGTGAGGACACACTGCAAGTATCTTCATTGCCTGGCGCTATCAGCACAGGGAGCAACTCACATCCAAATGTGTCTCTGTGAATTTCAGGTCAATGCTAGAGTTGAGGCCTTTACAGCTCGATAAGTAACCACCTAAATATTCTTTGTTTTGATTTTAGCCAGATAACTTATTTAAATTGAGGGGGGAATGGTTGGTTGGTTTTTTTAAATGTGAAAAGGAACTGTCCTAACTGTGGTGTGAGCAGGGGAAGAGGCAAGCGTAGAGGCAAGCCTCACACCAGTTCACTGTAGATGCTCACGGTTACTGGTGGCCTCCTGGAGCCCAGTGGGTGCCCAACTGCCCTCCACTACAGGGGAGGGTTTGCCTCTCCGCTCCACGTTAACATCCGAGAGCAGAGTTTGGGGAGTGCCTTTAACGAGCAACCGTAAGGAATCCTGTGAAGGGAGGACTGATTTTGTGTTCTGACTAACCTCGATTTACAAAGAATGCCTCAGCTCCACCTCAGCCTCAGCCTGCTCCACCTCAGCCTCAGCCTGCTCCACCTCAGCCTCAGCCTGCTCCAGCTCCTCACCCCACAGCGGTGTAAGGGCACCCTATGCGTTAGTGCAGGTAGAAACGTAACCATTTAGAGAGGCAGTTTAACTGAATTATTTTTTGCAGACCCAAAAATAAAACCAATCTGTTATTATGAACCTTTATTAAGCGGCTCACATTTCAGTATAAATCACACTAAAAAGATCTTTAAAAAAGATATTTACACTACAGTGCTGACACATTTAAAATGAAAAAATTGGTATAAATAAGCTCTATGGAAAAGCCTGGAATTGTCATAAAGAATTCTGGCTCATCTTACAAAAAATATATATGTTAAATGTCAGCTCTACTCTAAAACCTACAACTCAAAATTATTTAAAGACTTCTTTATGTTAAACCTGCAGTGTTTACAGTGCATCTGGCCCTAAGTGCTTTGATACTTCACAGTTATGGACAGGCACTGAGGAATGTTACAAAGCTACATAACTATTTTCTGTAACAGATGCGAAGGCAAGTCACAAACTTGCCTCACAGAATTTATGAATCTTTACATTATTACATCATTAACTTTAAAAAGGAATTTAAAACCATATATACAAATTCAGCACAAAAAATCATCCTCTCTTTGTCCATGCAGTTTTGGATACGATGAACTATGTTGTCTTGTATCATCTGGATGTATGTGACCTCCGGGGCATAACTTGCCTTGTAAGTCCTTGGTGCCAGGTTCGAGTTTAGAATCCATTTCCAACTTAAATGCCGCCAATTCGACGTGATCCAACCTACTCTGAACATTCTGGGCCCCGACGTCATTAGATGCCACTGTCTTTTCAGCAAGATCAACATTCATGGGTTCTTCTTTTATTCGGTGAGATGCAATAGGTTCGTGTTTTGTCGGCATAAATTCTTGCTGCAGATACTTTGTCTGCAGAGCATCTGAAAATTTGGTGTCTTCGGAGGTATTTTTGCTTATCGTACAAATTCTGCTGTCAGTCTGAAGTCCAATAACCGAAGACTTGGAGTCTGCAGAGGTCCCTGCTTCAACAGTACTTGTATTTTGGGAAAGTTCTTCCTCTGAATGATATAGCTTGAGCCGGATGTGCCAAGCCAAACTGCACACAGCTGAAACTGTTTTGAACTGGTGCACAACATTCCTTGGGATAAAGTAAATGTCATTATCGAATAACTGAATTCTGGCATATCGGATGCCTTCCCTTCGCAGTTGGTTAAGTTTTGCATCATCGACCCACTGGACGCACTGGAGGAAAAAAAGGTGGGGGAAAAAAAAAGGTGAAAACTCCAATTTAAGACCCAGAGGACACCTCATCAACAGTTCATAGCATCCTTACCTGTGAGAGTGGAGGCTCATGCAAATCTAATTGCATTCGCTGAACTACCTCTAAGAAGTCCTCAGCATGAAAACAAATTACGTCTTTGGTTATACGAGGCTGCTCAGACCTACAGAAGAGTAAGAATTGCACAGTCAGAAGATGGAATAATAAAGAAAATCTGCAGGCAAGGATAAAGGAAATTAAGGAAAAAAACCCCAAACCAGCAATTCCAACATACTCTACATTTTGAAGAAAAGTGATTGATTAAAACACAACCTCATTAGGCTAGTTAAATGAATTAACCACAATTTCTTTACAAGTGGCAGTAAAAACAGCAATGAAAGGTTCAAAAAAACCTCACTATTTTTCATTTTTATTGTTAATTTGCCTCTGTCTGCCTCGACCCTGCAAGACAGATGCCCCAGATACACTGGGCTTACTCTGTCAACACTTATCGTGATGCACCCATCAGGTACCTCAAAGCATGCAGAGATCTGACGAGGGCTACGGCAAACATTGCTTGGTATCTGACTCAAACACCTTGTTCAGATTGACAAGTAAAGCTGAATGTACATGGAGCTGCCATAATGCCAGTAAGCAGCAAGTACTGGAATCCTCCACAAAACTTCCCTTAAAAATACACGCCTATTTGTGCTCACCAGAGAGCTACAGAAAAACAAAGATCTGGACTAAGGTTTGTCTCCGTATTCAAACTGTTAGAATTCACCTCTTGTCCTCAAACGTCTCCCCCAAAGGAATGCACACTATTTATATAATTCCTTGTGACACACTATCTAGAATTGAACTAACAACAGACAAAAAGCCAAACTCAGTTCTTCAACAGAAACATATAAAACTAAGCTCTTTGTGTTTGTTCTTGAGCGATGTTTGGTTTTTAGAAAGTTTGTTTATAAATAAAATCTTCCTATTGCCATTTTTTATAGGATAAAGCTCACACTGGAGTGGTTTTGCAGGGAAAATTTATCAGCCAGAAAGAGCCTGGTTGATCAACCATCTTCAGACTCCAGTCACCACATGGAGCCCAGTGTCCCCATCACCGCTGCCCCAGCCACACAGGGACACAGGTTCAGATTCACTGGGGCCCGGGGCAGGAGCTGATGCAGCAAAACAGTTTGATGTGTTTCAGAATTTGTCTAACAGATGTTCAAGAAGGCTTTTTAAAAAGCAAGACGATAATAAATTTTTATATGTATATGGTGTTATTAATGTTTTAAGAAGCAGGCAACGACGTACAGTTTATTGGGCTTTTTAAACCAAGACGACATGTTTATTTTATTTAGGTCATGACCTCAATAAAGCAAAAAATAACCAGTCTGAGGTTATTTTCAGGGGAAAAAAAATCCCAGATCTACTACTGAAAGTACGCCAGGGAGCACTTTCAGACCACGTATTTTACTTTCAATTTTACAAAGACTAAAATGTCTCCTCTATATTTTGGTATCCATACCCCTGAAGAGGATTTAAGCAACGAAAGCAAAAAGCTTACAGAAACATCACTAGTCACTGGCATAAAAAAAAAGTTAGCTACATTAATTTTTATAATGCAGGGGTTTTTATTTTTTAATAATACATATCTGCATCTGGAGTTAACAGTATTTGTCAATGAAGTTAAGAATTAAAATCAATACAAAGAATGTTTCCATACTAAAAGAACTTCAGTTCAAAGCAGTATTTTCACAGCAGCATCTACTCAGTGTTTTCCACATTACACAAAAAATATAGTTAATGATTTAAAATAATTCCTTTTCTCAATCCCTATATCTACACGCAACAGTATACAGCACAGATTTGGTAATGCAATTCCATCACGAAATACGACATTCCTTTTGCAAACGCAAAAGAGAAAAAACTATTGCCAGATTATTTTTAATTCCACATCTGCAGATTTGATATTTAGCACAACTTTCAGATTATATTTTGCAAAACCTGAAGTTTAGGCAGGGTCTCCCCACTTCAAGCAAAATAGTAGAACAGTTCAGTTGGATGTCAAAACCCCCCCCCAAAAACATTAAATCCAAACAGAACTATAAAGATGACTTCAGAAAAAACCATTTTAAGTCCCCACTAGAGCAGTGCTAGGACCGTTTTTGGCAGTAATTTTTTTTCCTTAACCTCATTCTTCAAAAGGGCTAGACTCTTTGATGTAACTTCTCAAATGATTACAGGTTTTATGATTAATATTTCTGACCTAATATATGAAGTCTGTCAATATATAACAAATTCCTGTGATCGTAAAGAAAAGCACTAAACTTCATGCTCTGTCACACAACCTTGAAACAGAGGGGTTTAATTCTACCAATAATGATGCCATGAAGCATCTTTTGCTGTCCCTGTAAAAACTCACATAAGAAATCTTTAAAGTTTCCATAATTTAAAATTTCACTGGCATTCCTTAAGTTCTAAAGCACGCTTGTTATCACCTACAAAAACAGCATTAAGCAGTCAACATGAGCACACCACCAGCTTCTATCAGTCTTCAGTGCAGTGCAGCCTCTAAAATGTTTGCTAGCCATAGCCAGAGCTCCTCTACAATTTGTAAATATTCAGAGAAATAATAATAATAAAAAAAATCATTATCTGTTTATTTTTACAAAACACCTCAAATCAAGAGCCTGTCATATTTGGGAAAGCAAAAGTTATATTTTTGTTCTTCTAAATACTACGTGTTGTTTCCAGTTCTCTCCTCTGTCTGCAAAAACTGCTTTTTGCCTTTCAACAGCTCTGTTCCTGCCGGGTCCGAAAGGCACCAGTTATCCTACCGAACGTAAACATTCAGCCCTAGCAACTACAAAAACTACAAAGTAAATCTCACTTTCTTTAAATCTACAGCAACTTCTTGATTACAACGCTTTTTTTTTTGCATCCCCAATTCATTTTTACACTAACTGAACAGAAACTAACAACTCTGTTCAGAAAGTCTAGGAATTGTTTTATTTTCTCCTCAAAAAGAACACAATTTTTATATATGGTATCTCCTCATTAAAACACGTGCTGTTTAACTGTCGTAGTGCTCTTATCAGCCCTGGAATATCTCCAACTTTCACTTTTGTTCAGAGATTTTTTTTAAAGAAAAAAAAAACCTACCCACACCCAAATTTTTCAAGTTTTCCATAGATGTCGTTTCCTTTAAACTAAATCTACCCACAGCTTACAAACTATGGCAAAGCTAATACCCAAAATTATTTTCATGTGTTATGATAATGAAGTGTCGTTAATTAATGTAAGCCCTGATTAGCTCTCTTCATATAAGTACAGTGAAGGGGCTTTTCAAAATTATACAAAAAAGTGGAAAGGGAAAGGAGAAATTATCATTGAGATCAAATCAAGCTTGGAATACATCATGTTGATTTTTATGTATTTTTCTCCTCTATTAGTCCCAGATTTTTAATTATGCATTAAAAGATAGATTTTCAGTCCTTACACTGAAGTGAAACGCTGACACTTTCTTTTTTCCCAAAACTGAAGTACTTTCAGGTTTGTTGGGTAGTTTTGCCTATTTTCAGGTCACTTCCTAGTTTACAGTTTTTTATTTTGACCAGCTCCATTCATTTTTCCAAGTTTAAAAAGAATTTTAATGGAGGTTGAATAGACACCCTTTTCCACAAGTTCCAATAAATGAGAAGATGGTTTAGATCTGAAAAGCATGAAGAGCAAGAAAATTTATTTTCAGAATCTAAATGAACAAGTAATGATTTCCAAGGGAGGAACATCTTGTTATGAAGGTACAGGGTGAGAATGGGAAGTTCCCACAGACATTTAAATTATTATTAAATTGTTATTAATTTCATCAGGCACGCAAGTTTGGAGGGTGGGATTTTGTTTTGTTTGGGGCTTTTTTTTCTATTTCCTTTGATAAAGATTTGAGTCTCTCTCATATGTGCAAAGTATAATTTAAAATAATCAAATCTACACAGTATCTCAGCTCTTGCCCTGCTACTACTGCTCAGTCTTAATTCACTCCAGCTTCTCCCAGAGCAAGCAGGAAATTTACAGCTCCAGCTGCCATCAACCTAAAGAGGAAGTAAACTGCAAAACCTCAGAGCCCAAAATAAAAACTCATTAACATCTGAACAATCCAGTTCTTCCCCAACGGCAATTATTCCGTTTTCTTTCTTAATGAACTCATGCACCATAACACAAATTTGCATCATTTCCTCCACAGGGAAATCACTCTTCTGAATTCTAGACAGATATAAACACTAAAAACACCTTTTGCTCTTTATGTAAGCAAAGGTAGCCTCCAAAACTAAGGTCATTCTCCCAAACCAAGGTCAGAGGATCCTGAAAAATGCTTCTTACAGCTAGGCCAAGGAAGCCCATGTGATTATGGGCTTTTTATTTGGCTAAAACGTAAACAGCTTCAAATGAGATGTGTTCACTTCCTGAATCTCCTATGGGAATTCCAAAAACAGACACACAAAAACATAATTTAAAAAAAAAAAATCATACAGCCTCCTATAGGATTCTACCAAGGTGATCTACCATAAATAAGTCTGGGTTATAACAGCCATGACTTTGAAGCAGAAGCATAAAAACTTTGCTTATCTCCAGACAACACAAAGAATTGCCAAAAGGTTTTCATGCACACCTCTGAGACAGAAACTCAGGTCAGTGTAAAGTATTTTCATATCTAACATTAACTCAGGTACAGCAACTCAATTATAGCTACTAAACTGTCATTGCCAACCACCTACTAGTTTCAACCACACAGCAGAACTGTACCCACCCTAGCAGAGGGCAGACAAACTCAGCTAGTGCTCAGAGGAGAAAAAACAAAACAAGAAGTCCAGTATCTACTGAGTCTTCATTAAATCTCTAATGCTAGATTAATCTAGCCTGTACTCCTTCTACCAGTTATAAATGGAATTTCAGGCAGATGTTTTTCAAACACCTAGGTAAGTTAATCAAGACGTACCACTCTCCACAGTGCACAGCCTTCAATACCCCCACGGCAGCTGTGGTCTGGCGTTCAAAGCCTTGTCCTATGTGATCCGCATGGGCTCGGGTCCGGTCTTCAAATAGCATCTCACGGGGTTCACTGGTTCGAGGTAGGTACTGCAAGTTTTTTATTTCATTGGTAGTTCTGCATAAGAAAAACAATACTCGTGATATAGGAACATCTCTTATTACCTCATTTCCACTGTAGCCAATAGTGGTGTTGTTCTCCCATCAGTGAGAACATACAGGCAGATAACAAAAACGCTTAGAACAAATTAAAAACGTAACAAGCTATGTGAAAAATCAGAACACCTATGCAATTAAAAGAAAACAAACAAAAACACCTCCACAATGTCAGAGCCCTGAGTGCACCTGAAGACCCTAATGATTGAGCAGCCTCACCTGCAGTTTCCACCCACAAACCCAGACAAAGAGCCCAGGAACTCTATTTAAGCTCAGGCTTAAGCCTGGGCCTTCAGTGCTGGCCTGAGCCATGCTGTAGGAGCACTGGTCTTCTCCTCAAGCCAGAGGCGTGCTGGGCCACAGCCTCACTTCCCAGCTTGTCCTCAGGACTTTGTCATGACTGACCTGCCTGGCAATCACTGGACCTGATCCTCACTGGCAGACTAACTTCCTGGCTTGACCTCAGACGTGCCCCATTGCCACACACTTGCCTGAAGCACTGGAGTCTGAGCTGAATCTGGTTCTCAAACTCCAGGTCTGCCCATCCTGCCTCCTCCAGGCACTGAGAGACTGAGCCCTACCACGATCAGCCCTTGGCAGGGAAGCTGGCCTTAGCAGCTTTCTGACTGAGATACATTTTGGTTGTCCTTGAAGTCATTCTTCATCATTGACGTTTCTATAAAACCGCTGGGAAATGTATGTTTAGTTCCATGTTGTAGAACTGGGAATGAGAGGCAGCAAAATATTATTTCTTCAGGGTTTAATGAAAGTGAAGGAAACACTGCAGAGCAGGAACACAGCCACAAGACCATTTTCATGGCCACCTGGAGCTGACATTGTGTCCCACGTTTTTCCAAGAGCTGCTTATGGCCACGGTTGGAAGGGACATCTGGAGACTACATAGTCCAAGTTCTCCCACGCAACTAGAGCAGGTTGCTCAGGACTGTATCCAGTCAAGTTTTGAGCAACTTCAAACACAGAGACTCCACAAGCTTTCTGGGCAACCTGTCCTAGTGTTCAGCCATCCATACAGTAAACTTGGTTTTCTCCTTATTTTAAATAGAATCTCTTGTAATTCAGTTTGTGCCTATTACCTCTGGTCACATCACCAGGCACTGCAGAGAAGACTCCTTCTTACAACCTCCCACCAGATGCTTATACACATTGACATGATCCCACTGAGCCTTCTTTTCTCCAGGGTAAATCCCAGCTCTCTCATGCCTGCCTTACATCACCAGACCTGCTCCAATATGCCCATGTCTGTCTTGGACTGGAGAACTCAGAACTGGATGTGACACTCCAGATGTGTCTCACCAGTGATGAGCAGAGGGGAAGAACCATATCCCTCAACCTGCTGTCAGTGCTCTTCTAATCCTGTACAGGAGGCTGCCGGCCAGCTTTGCCAAAGGCTTATGGGCAACCTGTCATCCACCAGGACATCTCCCCCCCCAAATCTTTCTGTTGGGCTGCTGTCCAGTCAGTTGGTCCTCAGCCTGTGCTGGTGCACAGGGTTATTCCTCCCAGGGGCAGGCCTCTGCAAATCCCAGTATTTTCTTCATGAGACTTCTACTGGCCCATTTCTACAGCCTCTCAAGGTCCCTCTCACTGGTAGGGCAACCCTGGGTGTGTCAACCACTCCTCCCAGTTTTTATCACCTGGAAAACTTTCTGAGGGTGTGCTCTGTCCCGTGATGCTGGCCTTTAATGAAGATGTTGAACAGTATTGGCACAAGGTATCAATGTCTCTCTTACTCCAGTACCAACTGTTTTCCAACTGGACTTTGTGCTGCTGATCACAACACTTTGAGCACAGCAGTTAAGCCAGTTCTTGAACCACTTCACTGTCCATCAGTCTAGTTCATCCTTTACTAACTTGTCTATCAGGATGTTATAGAAGACAGGTGTCCAGTGTGGAACGCCTTGCTAAATTTAAGGTAAATAACATCCCTGGCCCTCTTCTCATCCATGAGCCAGTCATGTTGTTGCAGAATGCTTTCTAGGCCCTTTATCCCACTCAGCAGATGCCTTACATTTTCCCTAGTCTTTCTTTTGCTGTCCATATGCCTGTAGAAGTCCTTGTTGCCCTTCACGTTCCTTGCCAAATCCAACTCCAGATGGTCTTTGGCTTTAACTGCATCCCCTTCATGGTTGGGCAGTGTCTCTATGCTCCTTCTGAGGCATATGCCCCTGCTTCTACTTCTTGTTATGCTCCCTTTTTGTGTTTGAATTTTGAACAAGAGAACTCTAGAGACATAATTTCCCATGACACACAATATTTGAGTTCTGCAGAGGACACCCCTGCTCTTAAGCTGGTACTTATAACCAGTACCACAGCAAAGCCTGAACATGTCATTTAATGTTGGAGGTGTGACCTTTCAGATGAGAGAAGCCTTTGCCCCTTGAGGTCTTTTAGTACACACTCACATTAAGAACAGGAGTATTAACTCCAGTTTCATGGCATACGTCAGTAGCTGTATGCCTATTCACATTACCCTCCAGCTTTCACCTTAAATTCCTATTAAAGCTCCAAAAAAGGCTAGCACCTTACTTGTCCAGGCAGTAAAAACTTTTTTAAAAAATTCACATCCTTACAAAATAAAGCAACCTAAAAGCGGATTTTGAGATGAAGATTTACAGAAACATATTCTAAGATATAGTATTAACCAGTAAAAGCTTTGGGATAAAATGAATCTGTAGAGAAGCAATATTAATCAGACACTTATAAAGCAAAATAATTCAACATACCTCTTCCTTTTGAAAGGTGACTTTGGCATGTCAGCCACAGGGATCATCTGTTCTCCCGGACGTACCCACATAATGGGACCATCATCACTGTCTTTACGACTCTCTAATTTTAAACTAGAAAGTGTTCCCCATGGCAGTGTACACTAATGGGAAATACAAGCCACAATTTTGAAGTGAGTTACTTTAAAAGCTTTTTAAAAGCAGCCTTTATCTGTCACAATGAAAACATTTATTAGACCACTCAATTATCTAAGCATGTATCACATACTCTCACTTTATATAACAGCAATACGTTGTCCCCCTTCTCCCAACCCATTCCCTTCTGTCCTTACTTTTAAGAAGGGTGATTCTTCCAACATATCAAGGAATTCAGGGAAGTAATCCCCCACTTCCTCATCAACTGCTCCAACCAGGCTGATCTGTCTCATTGGGCCAGCTCTATACGTACCATGAGAGTATGTTCTTTTTACCTACAAGTAGAATATGACAGCAAAAGTTACACCAAGTCCACTACTGCTCAAAGTCTACATTCAGTAAACAAACACCTTTAATTTCCATGCTTATATTTTCTGATATAAGAATAACGAAGACTGTAGGATTAAAGATTATTATGAAATCAATTACTATGAACTCATCACCAAAGACAGAAGCTCTTATTAGAGATACATGATAACTTGTATTTTATCTATTTTAAAGTCTGAAGGTAAGATTGACTAACTACTTATTGCCCTTCAAGAAATTAACATTCCAAAGTAGGACCTCTGAAAAGTTATTAACATATGTTCTGCTCAGTAACTAGTAAATAAGGATTCTTACCTGGATTACTCAAGACTAACTAAATTTTACCTTTTTCCTGTAACACTTGGGCAGAACCCCAAGTTACAACCAAACTCTAAACATCTTCTGCTAATCATTCTCTCCAGTATGGCCTCTGTGAGTACATTAACTGGAGCTCAGTATCACAGTGAAGACGAGGCTCGTAAAGACTAAGTACAGGAAGAGAGAATGACAGTTATTCCTTCATTTTTGCTGTGCTAACACGTCTTGTGCTCCCCTGAAACTTTAAGCACTGTAAAATTCATCTCATGATAAATCTTTTATTTTTAACCTGAACAGAAACACATATTGTTATGAACTTTTTTTTCAAATAATCTGATCTGTCTTGATACATCAACAAAGTACTTAGGCATGAGATTGATGAGGATCGTTTTCCCTTAAGCTTCCAATCTCCTATTTAACAAGCTGAAAGACACAGTGGCATTATTAGATGAAATATGACCAGATCAGAACAGAGGGAAGAGCAGATGGATTGCTGCACAAACCAAGTAAGGCTCTTGCACTGCATCTCTAGACATTCTGCATCCAAAGCAAGAAAAGAAAAAAGGTTCAAGGGAAACAGCAAATGAAGCACTGCTTAGCTATCATCCTCACCCAAACAGACCATTAAAATTCCTAAAAATTATGGCATTGCAGAGGAGAATTAGCAGCAGTTCCTGAAAACAGGACTAAATCATACAACATGGAACAACATTGAAAAGCTAGAATGATGTAACCAGATGCATTCCAGAAATGCAGAACCAAATACTCTTCCTCACATCATCTCCGTCATCATACACACCCAGGAAATGGAGGACTGACTAAAAGTAGGATTTTACAAAATGTCTGAGCTGAAGTAATGGCAAGCCAACACAGCCATACTGAAAAGAGCAGTACTGCTAAGACAGAACTACTTTCTTATTTCCCAAATCCTTAGTCATACATTCCTGCTGCTTTTTCACACGAACAGCTAGTGATTTTGCGATAAAACATCAGAAAACATTAATTTCTGCTGAATCTGCATTGGCTCAGTCCTCAGCTGTATCTGCACTGGCCCAAAGCACAGAACTAAAGCACCAAGACTCATCATTACTGGCTTACTGGACAGACCAAGTCTAAAGTACCCTAGAACCACTTTCTGAAGCTACAGATAGTCATAAATCTGTTACTCACAGTTTACTGGTAAACCTAATACGCAAAAGGATGTTTCTTTCAGTGGCATAAGCAGCATTCCACCACTCCAGGCCAAGACACTAAGTTGCTGTTTTCACCCACACCCCTGATTAATGGGATCCATTTTTCTGCCTTTTTCCTTGCTTCTTTCCACTACTGTTCTCCCATGTAACAAGTGACAGACAAGAGGAAATAGCCTCAAGTGGTGTCATGGGAGGTGTCATGGAAGGTTTAGATTGGACATTAGCAAACATCTCTTCATCAAAAGGGTTTGTAAGCATTGGAACAGGCTGTGCAGGAAAGTGGCTGAGTCACCATCCCTGGAGCTAGTTAGAAGATGTGTAGATGTGGCACTTAAGGACATGGTTTAGTGGTAACTTGGCAGTGCCAGGTTAATGGTTGCAACCGTATCTTAAAGGTGTTTTCCAACCTAAATGATTCTATGATTCTCATAGCATATGATAAACTAGTTGTGGAACTACTCCAGCTGAAAACTCTACAACTCCCCCAAAAATTACTAAATGAAGTGAAGCTAGGAGAGGCTGTGAAGCTTTCAGTTGATCAACTCACCCATCTGGCTTACATACCACTATGTGTTGGCAGTGAAGCACAAAGTCAGCAAAGCATTCAAGTACAACATAATCCTTGCTTAACGTGGATCGATTGATGAATCTCCTCTATATTCCCAAAAAGACCATGTCAGTGAAAGTTAAAACTGAAAGATCAACTCAACTTTAAGCATTATTTGTCCACCCTAATTCACTCCTAGCTGTCCTGATCAGACTCCTTTTCAGGATGCAGCTTGGGAGAACTGAAATACCAAAAATAATGCTAAGATAATGTCAAAGCTACAAATGATGAGCGGTTTCTTCTGGGCCCATATTCAGTCATATCATTGCAAATACACAGAATGAAATGTTTGAGCACTTAAAAACTCTGTGGTGTGTTAAACCCAGGCAGCAGCTAAGTACCTTACAGCCCCTTGCTCACCACCACCCCCACAATGGTGAGAGACATGGGAGAGAATGGGAAAAGCAAGGAAACACAGGGGCCCAGCTAAAGACAGTTTAATAAGTGAGGAAAAGAGGAAACTGAAGAAAAGAAGAAAAAACAGCAAGTGGTGTTTTTCACCACTGACTATCTCCCACAAGCAGCTTAGTGCCCAGGCAGCCCCCAGGCAATAGCTGCTTTCCAGACCAACACCTGCCCCAGGTCCCTCAGGTTTCTACTGCTGAGCATGATGTTACATGGTAGGGAATATCCATGCAGTCAGCTTGGGTCAGCTGCCCCAGCCATGTCCCCTCCCAGCTCCTTGCCCACCCCAGCCTACTTCTCAGGGGGTCCAGAACGGGGGGGGAAAGAAAAAAAAAGCCTTGACACTGTGCAAGTGCTGCTCAGCAACAGCTAAACCAGCAGGGTGTTATCACCAGTTAGTCACAAATCCAAAACACAGCCAGGTAATAGGCTGCTATGAAGAAAGTTAACTCTAACCTATCCAGATCCAGTATAAACAGAAAATAGACCCATGCAGGTGATCAAAGGGGAAGATCTGTTCTTTTTCCCTCCTTTCCTGCTAGTATAAGGTCTCCTGAAGGCAGAGAGGGAGCCAGTTTAGGGAACTGATCTGATTTTAATCCACAAATCACCTGAAGAATTTTTTCGTTTTAGAAAATTATACAAATAAGAATTCAATAAAAACATAGGCCATTTAAGACAAATGCCTGCCCAGAAAGAATAAGAGGGAATCTGAAAGATGCAGCTGCTGACAGAGAAGAGTGACTCCCATCTCTGGACTGGGTTATAGCATCCTAACCACTAGACCCAGGTCAGGGGTTGCTATTTAAATGACACTATCTTAGATTAGGCTAAAGAAATAAAAAAACATATTAAAAGGTGAGATCACTCTTAAAGGGAAGAGCTAGTGGCGAACAAAATTAATTTTCATTCACTCCAAAAAAATCAGATTGCTACTAAGTAATAGTGTGAAAACACCCAAAACCTTCCATTGATGTTTAACCAACAATAAACGTAAAATTAAACCCCTTAAAGATAACAACAAAATAAGCAGTATCTATGGCATGTTAAGTAACAGCAACATTTTCCTTTCCTTTTACTCTCAGTACACTTTGGCTGGTTTGTTCATGGGAGAGAAAAAAAAGTTTCCCCCATGTATTTCTAAACTCACAAAAACAATGGTGATGTACTAAAACCAGTCCTACCTCATCGAATTCTATACATTAAATCATGCACTGACCACAAGTCAAATATTATTAACCTTTTATAAGGTAATCTTGCTGAATGCAATTTTACAGTGACTATGTTTTTAGATTGTTACAAAGTTTGCTCAAATAAATAGCTGGAACAATCTACATGCAGAATAAAGAAGGAATTCAACGATGAGCAGTTCTAGCATGTGGCCAGCATGATCAGAATAGATACATACACAGACAAAAACCCCATCAATTAAATACAGAATACTACAATGGACAGCTAAAACAGATGGAAATATAAAACTGAATAAATACAACATAGCCTAACTTCTTTCTTCTCGTGTAGCTTAAACTTGAAGTATGTCACCTAAAAACACACAAAAAGAGACTGTGTCATTCTCTTGCATCAAGGTAATGGAAAATTATGACAGTCAAACCACCAGTAAATTCAAAATTAGTAAAACTTTAGAATTATCTGCTTCTGTGACTTGTATGGCATCAAATGATTTTTTTAGTGTAACTTAACTTGCACAGTTTTAAATAAGGAATTCTAAAAAGCAAATATTGTGGCATAAACATCTTGGCATCTAAAAGAATCCGAAGACTAAATCTGCATATCTGTAAGACCAACAACAGTATATTTTAGCATTTTCATTCTACAAATAGGAAACACTTTAGACACTATGTGTTAAAGAAGTTTTTCCATTTTCTGTTTGAAAAAGACACGAATGGGAAGGAACAGTCCAAAGAAACCAACCGTTTAAAAAGATTCATTTAAAGGAATGTAAACTGGGGCAAGTCACAACTGAATTCCTATTTTTAATATAATAGTGTTCTGGTGGGGTTTTTTTCAGTTGAATTTCTAATATATTCCTGTGAGAATTTTAGAGGTTTAAATTTCTTTCAGTTTCTCAGCTTTAAAGCCAAGAAGTCTGGAAAAGCCATCCTCATAGAACGAAACCAAAAAAATCCAAACCCACTGAACCCAAAATAATTTCAAGAAACCCACAAAGAAAGCCCCACCAAAAGCAACCAACAAAAACACCAAACCCCAAAACATTATATCACCATAAAAATATGCTGGGAGATCAGAGGCATTCCATTTCACTACACAAGTGCACAAGCAAGGCACTTAGATAGATATTTGTACTTACAACTGAAAACAGATTTAGAGGAGTAACAGTGCATATGAAGCTGGATGTTATCTCAAACGCTGTAATCATGGAGAGGCAATGTAGCATTCTTTTTTATTTGGTACATCTTGAAAATGT